GCAGCTGCAGTCAAGTGAGCTACGTTAACTCAGTTTTGGCCGTGGACTCTGAATAACCTCCTAGACTGCTGTCCCTTCCACGCTAGCGTGAGGCTTGGAGATTCTGTTTTCCGGGCAGCGCCTTGAAATATCCGAGCCCGACTTAAGTTTTCTGCTTGTGACTCACACTTGTGCCTCGTCCCCAGCTAGTTACGGAGGGCCTTTGGCATGAGATTCAGCAATGAAGCAAATGCAACAGGCAGGCTTTGGGGGGGGAGGAGAGAGAGAGAACCAAACCTCATCTTGAGCCTATTATTCTGAATGCTGCAAAGGGACACATGTCCGGGACTTTTTTTTTTTTGGCGCACTCTAGGTTCATCCAGCGTCTTTTCCTGCCTGTTTTCCTGTGGGATCTTGTGGAATTCCTGCTTGGAAACTCCCTCCCCAGCTTTTCCGGTGGCAGTGAGGGACCATTCTAGGCTGTGTTTAAAGAACATCTTGGGCTGAATGTGAAGCATTTCGCTCCTCTTCCCTGCCTCTGTGTCTGGGGAACACATGCTCTCGTTTTTTCCATCGCAAAAAAAAGTGCTTCCAGTCTGTTATGTACTGAGTTGAATAGGATCCAAAATGCAGCAGTCTGATTGGTCCTAGAACAATAGGAGTCAGAATGCAGCAGTCTGATTGGTCCTAGAACAATAGGATTCAGAATGCAGCAGTCTGATTGGTCCTAGAACAATAGGATCCAGAATGCAGTGGTCTGATTGGTCCTAGAACAATAGGATTCAGAATGCAGCAGTCTGATTGGTCCTAGAACAATAGGATCCAGAATGCAGTGGTCTGATTGGTCCTAGAACAATAGGATCTAGAATGCAGCAGTCTGATTAGTCCACAGGAGCCACCCAATCCAGCTCCAGATGGAAGTGAATCCGCAACCTGATTGGCCTACAGGTGAATCCTGGAATTAGCCAATCACTTGGGGCCCATTGTGTAATTAATGTATATAAAGCAGACATTCTGGGGGAACTTCCATTCCTCCTCACCGCTATGAGCCGAATAAAGAGCATGAAATCCACTCTCAACTCCGAGTATATTTCACAGTCTGTCACAGTTTTCTGGTGGGATCCAATCCCACACCAGCACATTCGTGATGTGACGTTTTTACAGAATATTTGGGAGGTTTTGCGCAACAAAGCTTGCTTCGCACGACTTTTTCCGATAAAGGAAAGTGACGTAGAAACACTCTGGGAAATGTGGGGTTGCGCTTGCTTGGAAGCAAAGTCACATCTCCCCGCGAACAAATTAGAACTGTGGGTGGAAAAGTATTAGAAATTAAGAAAAAGTATTTTACTGTAAGCAGCACAGGAGGGAGGGGAAAGAAGCACCTTGAAGGGGGGGAATGAAAAGTCAGTTTTTAAATCTGTGTTAAATTTGTTGTTCATTTGTTAAAAATTTGGAAAACTAATAAAAATTAATTGACAAAAAAAACAACCAAAAAACAACCACAACCCAGAACAAATGTTCATTAAATAACAAATACCATTCAATCACCCTGCGGACAAATGAGGTTGGGTGATTGAGCAACAGGTCATCTGGAAGAACCCAGGTCACATGGGAGCTTTAAAATAGGATTAGACAATTTCATGGAGGAAGAGGCTACCATTAGCTACTAGCCAGGATGGGTAGGTTCGGCCTGATCTGACGTCTTCCTTGGTGATAGGATAGGGCAATTGCCCCCTTTCCCCTTGCAATGCCAGCTACTCCATGCTGCAAAAGCGTCAGAGTGCAAGGCGTATTAAGCCTCTGTCTGGCTCCTTCTGCCAATAAAAGCCCGGAAAGATGTGATGGGAGGGGGAAAGGGGAGAATTAAATGGCAGGTCCCAACTTAAAAAAGGGGAGGGGGGAAGAAGGGGCGACTACCACTTTTAGAACGATGCCTGATTAATCAAAGACGGTGTGTTGTTGTTGTTTAGTCGTTTAGTCGTGTCCCACTCTTTGTGACCCCATGGGCCAGAGCACGCCAGGCACTCCTCTCTTCCACTGCCTCCCTCAGTTTGGTCAAACTCATGCTGGTAGCTTCGAGAACACTATCCAACCATCTCGTCCTCTGTCATCCCCTTCTCCTTGTGCCCTCCATCTTTCCCAACATCAGGGTCTTTTGCAGGGAGTCTTCTCTTCTCATGAGGTGGCCAAAGTATTGGAGCCTCAGCTTCAGGATCTGTCCTTCCAGTGAGCACTCAGGGCTGATTTCCTTCAGAATGGATCGGTTTGTTCAACAATTCTTCGGCGATCAGCTTTCTTTATGGTCCAGCTCTCACTACATCACTACTGGGAAAACCATAGCTTTAACTATACGGACCTTTGTTGGCAAGGTGATGTCTCTGCTTTTTAAGATGCTGTCTAGGTTTGTCATATCTTTTCTCCCAAGAAGCAGGCATCTTTTAATTTCGTGGCTCATCTGCAGTGATCATGGAGCCCAAGAAGCCCAAGAAAGTAAAATCTCTCACTGCCTCCATTTCTTCCCCTTCTATTTGCCAGGAGGTGATGGGCCCAGTGGCCATGATCTTCGTTTTTTTGATGTTGAGCTTCAGACCATATTTTGCGCTCTCCTCTTTCACTCTCATTAAAAGGTTCTTTAATTCCTCCTCACTTTCTGCCATCAAGGTTGTGTCATCTGCATATCTGTGGTTGTTGATATTTCTTCCGGCAATCTTAATTCCGACTTGGGATTCATCCAGCCCAGCCTTTCGCATGATGAATTCTGCATATAGGTTAAATAAGCAGGGAGACATCTAAGGGCAGACAAATAGTTGCCCCATTCTCAACATCAATATGTGTGTGTTTTTGTGATGGCTTCATCGTTCAAATGTTACTTGTGCCCACAGACAAGACACTCTTCTTTCGCTGGCAACATTGGCATGAAGTGGTACAAAACACACACACAAAACGTGCCAAATGTTCAAACTATTGCAATCTTTGGAACCATATGCAAGTCAGCAGTTATCCAATACACACAAGGCAGTAAAAGGTGCCTTAGACCAGGGGTAGGCAACCTAAGGTTCGTGGGCCAGATCCGGCCCAATCGCCTTCTAAATCCAGAACGCGGACGGTCCGGGAGTCAGCGTATTTTTACATGAGTAGAATGTGTCCTTTTCTTTAAAATGCATCTCTGGGGTATTTGTGGGGCCTGCCTGGTGTTTTTACATGAGTAGAATGTGTGCTTTTATTTATAATGCATCTCTGGGTTATTTGTGAGGCATAGGAATTTGTTCATTTCCCCCCAAAAAATATAGTCCGCCCCCCCCCCACAAGGTCTGAGTGATGGTGGACCAGCCCAAGGCTGAAAAAGGAGCCCTGCCTTAGACAATATAACAAACAGTTCTTCTCTGGCACCATCTGCTGGTCAAAGTGACAAATGCAGCAGTGATGCTAGAAAGATGATTACAGTCGGACCTTGGATGCAGAACGCCTTGCGAGTCTAACGTTTTGGCTCCCGAACGCTGCAAACCTAGAAGTGAGTGTTCTGGTTTGCAAACGTTCTTTGGAACCCGAACGTCCGACGTGGCTTTCCAACGTTTTGGAAGTCCAAGGAACTTCCAAAACAGATTCTGTTCGACTTCCGATGTACCATTGTACTGATTTTTTGCATAGACAAAAAACAACAACAATAACAACAACAACAACAACAGAGAGAAGATGGATAAGAGTAATCCTGTTTGTAAGCAAAACCCCACAACTTTTTTATTGACGCAAGATTACAGAAAATATTCAACAACAGAAAGAACAAAACCATGTTTTTCCACAACTGGACATAATTGCCCAATGACCTGCCAGAGCCAAGAAGGCCCAGAGCCAAGAAGATTATGCCATTCAAAGGGACTTGGTCTCAGGTTGAATGAATTTATTTAAAATGGTGAAAGGCAAACTCCCAGTTAGAAGGATCAAGAGCTGGGAAAGTTTGCTAGTCCATCCGCAACATGGATTCTCACCAGTTTGCCTCGTCGTCATCTGGGGCCAGCTGGGCTTCCAAGGTCTCTGATGAGTCAGATTCTCCGATGCGGCAATAAACAAGGCTTCTGAGTGCCATCTGCCTGGTGTCAGAGCTGCTGCCTCCTCCAAGCCTTGGGCAAGCCGAGCGGCAAAGATTGCGTAGTTGACCAAGGTCTTCCAGGTAAGGTCTTCTAGTTATCTCCCGCTTGGACTACTGCAATGCGCTCTACGTGGGGCTACCTTTGAAGGTGACCCGGAAACTGCAATTAATCCAGAATGCGGCAGCTAGACTGGTGACTGGGAGCGGCCGCCAAGACCACATAACACCGGTCCTGAGAGACCTGCATTGGCTCCCAGTACGTTTCTGAGCACAATTCAAAGTGTTGGTGCTGACCTTTAAAGCCCTAAACGGCCTCGGCCCAGTATACCTGAAGGAGTGTCTCCATCCCCATTGTTCTGCTCAGACACTGAGGTCCAGCACTGAGGGCCTTCTGGCAGTTCCCTCACTGCAAGAAGCCAAGTTACAGGGAACCAGGCAGAGGGCCTTCTCGGTAGTGGCGCCCGCCCTGTGGAATGCCCTCCCATCAGATGTCAAGGAAATAAACAACTATCTGACTTTTAGAAGACATCTGAAGGCAGCCCTGTTTAGGGAAGCTTTTAATGTTTGAAGGATTGTTGTATTTTAATATTCTGTTAGAAGCTGCCCAGAGTGGGAAACCCAGCCAGATGGACGGGGTATAAATAATAATTTTATTATTATTATTATTATTATTATTATTATTATTATTAACGGGAACCCTTCTTCCCTGCTAGGGATCGTGGTTAAAGACCCCAGCATCTATGACACCCTGGAATCTGTGCATTCCTGCCTGTACGGAACTAGGCTGGCCAGAGGCCCTGCTGCCCCCTTTGGGATGCTGTTGCCAGGATTGGGGACCAAACGGGAACTCACTCCGTCGCAGGGATTCGAACCGCTGACCTTCTGATTGGCAAGATCAAGCCTCAGTGGTTTAGACCACAGCGCCACCCGCATCCCAGTTCCAGCTTATCAATATCCTTTTTAAATTGTGCTGCCCAGAACTGGACACAGTACTCCAGGAGTGATCTGACCAAAGCAGAAAAGAACAGGACTTTGACTTCCCTTGTTCTGAACACTATACTTCTGTTACTGGATCCAAGAATAGCATTCGTTTTTCTTTTCTTTCTGCTAGGACCCCCTAGATCCTTTCTGCATGTACTGCTGGCGAGCCAGGTGTCCCCCATCTTATATTTGTGTATCTGGTTCTCCACGGAAATTGGGGTGGGAAGACAACGAAAACAAGAGAAAAAGACACAATTGTGTTTTGATTATATATGCTAAAAATGTTGAAACTTAATAAAATATAATTGGGGGGGGGGGGATAATTGTGATACAGTACTGTGGTCCTAACAGAGTTCCTCATTCTGCAGTAGCTCTCGGATAATAGAGAACTGCGTCTAGAAATCCTACTCAGGTTTAATTAAAGCTCTCACCACACGAGGGCAGTGCAGCACAGCCTTGCTAAAGCTAGAGAAAGATAATCCTGGTTCAATAGTACATATACAATAAAAGGTAAAGGTACCCCTGCCCGTATGGGCCAGTCTTGACAGACTCTAGGGTTGTGCACCCATCTCACTCAAGAGGCCGGGGGCCAGCGCTGTCCGCAGACACTTCCGGGTCACGTGGCCAGCGTGAAAAAGCTGCATCTGGCGAGCCAGCGCAGCACACGGAAACGCCGTTTACCTTCCCGCCAGTAAACGGGCCCTATTTATCTACTTGCACTTTGATGTGCTTTCAAACTGCTAGGTTGGCAGGCGCTGGGACCGAACAACGGAGCACACCCCGCCGCGGGGATTCGAACCGCCGACCTTTCGGTCGGCAAGCCCTAGGCGCTGAGGCTTTTACCCACAGCGCCACCCGCGTCCCTCGGTTTCCATAGGAACGCATTAATTGATTTTCAATGCATTCCTATGGGAAACCGTGCTTCGCAAGACGGAAAAATCGCAAGACGACAAAACTTGCGGAACGAATTAATTTCGTCTTGCGAGGCACCACTGTACATATACAATAGCTATGCCTTAAACACACCGTGATCATTTATTTTCTTCGTGTTCCAGCTTTAATTTCCTGCTTCTTCATCCTTACAACTCCACAGCATTTCAACTAAAGCCTGGGCCCCCAACTCCTGCAAAGAAATTACTTCAGACCAGGTGGATTTTTATCCAGCATGACTAAGCCTCTTCTGGCGAACCAGAGCAACGCACGGAAACGCCATTTACCTTCCTGCCAGAGCGGTACCTATTTATCTACTTGCACTTTGACGTGCTTTCGAACTGCTAGGTTGGCAGGAGCAGGGGCTGAGCAACGGGAGCTCACCCCGTCACGGGGATTCGAACCGCCAACCTTCTGATCGGCATGTCCTAGGCTCTGTGGTTTAACCCACAGCACCACCAATGTCCCTACCTTTTACTGTACCTTCCAACATTTCTCTGGTGAAAATAGGGATGCCCTAAGGAAAAGCGGCACATTCCGAAATCAAATCAGAAAAGGAGACAGCTTCTGCAAACCCGGGACTGTCCCTGGAAAATAGGAAAACTTGAAGAGTCTGGGGTTAGCACACTGGAGTGGAGAACCACCCCAAATGAGCATTGAGCACCTGAACATTTTGATAAGCTGATTCTTGAATCACACTGGGATTTCTTCTAGATGGGGAGTGGAGGCAATGTTTGCTGCAACTCTTCCACTCCCGGGATACTTACAGTGGCTATTTTCTGCCTTCAGCGCTGGAGATGGAAGACATGCCTCTGAAGGCCAGTTGCTAGGATTCACAAGAGTGTGGCTGTGCTTATGTCCTCTGTACGGGTTCCCATGGGCTTCTGGTCGGCCTCTGTGAGAACAAAATGCAGGACAAGGCAGACTTCCTTTTCAGCCCGATCCACAACAGCTCTTCATTACCTGCTAATGTGTGATCAGGTTCTATTGGGCTGCAGGAATCATATACAGTGGTACCTCGGGTTACATACGCTTCAGGTTACAGACTCCGCTAACGCAGAAATAGTACCTCGGGTTAAGAACTTTGCTTCAGGATGAGAACAGAAATCGCGCGTCAGCAGCAGGAGGCCCCATTAGCTAAAGTGGTGCTTCAGGTTAAGAACAGTTTCAGGTTAAGAACGGACCTCCGGAACGAATTAAGTATGTAACCAGAGGTACCACTGTACTGCCCGATACGCGCAGGTCTCATTCCTCTGCCCTTCCAAACCCCAATCTGCTCTGGAGGGTACCCCAATCCCCTGGAGCAGATTTTGAGAATGCACCAGGGGGCTGCTGCTGCAGGAAAAGAAGAAATCTGTGTCACAAGAGGAATAGCAATTCTGGACACAGGCCCTAAACGGCTTCAGCCCAGTATACATGGAGGAGCGTCTCCACCCCCATCGTTCTGCCCGGACACTGAGGTCCAGCTCCGGGGCCTTCTGGCGGTTCCCTCCCTGCAAGGTTACAGGGAACCAGGCAGAGGGCCTTCTCGGTAGTGGCGCCTGCCCTGTGGAACGCCCTCCCATCAGATATCAAGGACATAAACAACTATCTGACTTTTAGAAGACATCTGAAGGCAGCCCTGTTTAGGGAACTTTTTAATGTCTGGTGTTTTATTGTATTTTTAATATTTTGTTGGAAGCTGCCCAGAGTGGCTGGGGAAACCCAGCTAGATGGGTGGGGTATAAATAATAAATTGTTATTATTATATAATTATATATATTTAGGTGCCGGGCAAAAACATTCCTCTTCTCCCTGGCCTTTGGCTAAATGTTCAATCTGCGGCCTTTAAACCTGGATGGGGGAGCAGGGGAGAGAGAGTATTATTTTTGTTTGTTTCTATGCACAAAAATGGATAGCTCAGTCGGCAAAGCACGAGACTCCTAAATCTCAGGATCGTGGTGGGCAAACGATTCATGCTTTGCGGGGGGGGGCACTCGACGACCCTTGGGGTCTGTTCCAATTCTATGATTTTTGTCTTTTTGTATTGAAAACCGCCCTGTGATCCTCGGATGAAGGGTGGCACAGAAATTTAACAAACAAATAAATGCAACCCATCTCCTGACATGCTGCCCCGAACCCAAGGTGAAAGATTTTGTGTGTGTGTGTGTGTACTGGGGAATTTCCTGTGTATTCGGCGTCTGGTGAGCTTGCATCAGAATGAATTGATTTTAGAATGTATTTCAATTAATTGACTGTGGGTTTTTTTGTAAACTCTGTTATTTTTACTCTTGTTAGCCACTCTGAGCCCGGCTTCAGCTGGGGAGGGCGGGATATAAATAAATTATTATTATTATTATTATTATTATTATTATTATTATTATTATTATATCTCATGTGCAGACTGCAGTGGGGGGGCCAAGATTTGGCATCCTGAACATCACAGCTTTCTCTCTCCCCCCCCCCCCTTTAAGGCTGCAAAGAGAACTGCAAAGGTCATCGTTTCCTTCCATTGTTCTTGGTTCCTTCTCCCTAACAGAAATCAAACAAATTCTGTGCAATCAGCACACAAAAGGATATGCAAAACCCAGTGCTATTTTTTTCTAGAAAATAAGAGGTGCTGGAACTGAGTTCCAGTGAGTTCCGGCGGGGGGGGGGGGGGAGAGAAGAGCCCTGCAAATATCCTCAATGGGCAGGATATATTGTCAGGCTCAGAAGTAAGAGAGATGTGCAGCATAAAATACACTTAGGTACAACGATTTACCAGCTCTGCCGGTAGAGCACAAGACTCTTAAATCTGAGGGTTGTGGATTCGAGTCCTGCTTCGCGGGGGATTGGACTGGATGACCCTCGTTGTCCCTTTCAACCCTACAAGTCTATAATTCTATGACTTCAATAGGCTCAAGTAGATGGGTGTAGCCGGGGGGGGCAGCTGCCCCCTCCTAGATCAAGTAAAACAATAGAAATACTTAATTAACTGACTAATTACATCGGTCCAGTCCCGTCCCCAACAAAAATCCTGGCTACGCCCATGCTAAAGTACAGTCGTACCTTGGAGCTGGCTGACCTGACCTGAAGAATCCACAACCAGAAAGAAGCGGAGACACAAGAGGATTGGAAGAAATTCCAATAATATTTAGCTAAATATTGTAATATAAGACAAATAGAAAATTCTTGGAAGTAACAGATAGGCTTAGGGGTAGAATAAGGATACGTGGTAGTAAATATTAAGGATTAGAATATTAATAAAGGAGAAGAGGTTAGTAAATGAAAGGAGTTTATATTATTAGAAATATGGACTTGGAGAACTATTATAAAGGCGATATAATGAAATTCAGTTAGAGGGGATTCGAGAAAGTCAGTTATCAATGTGAGGAAAGTTGGATATTTGAAGAAATAATCTTTTTTCTTTGCTTTTTTTGTATGTTTAGTTTATTATTGTGTGGTGTGTTTCTTTTTTATTTGTTGAGTATTCTGTTACTTTTGTGATAAATGTTGAAAAGCAATAAAAAAATTAGGGGGGGGAAGTACACTTGTACCTCGGAAGTCGAACGAAATCCGTTCCAGAAGTCCGTTCGACTTCCAAAACGTTCGGAAACCAAGGCGCGGCTTCCGATTGGCTGCAGGAAGCTCCTGCAGCCAATCGGAAGCCGCGCCGAACATTTGGGTTCCAAAGAACGTCTGCAAACCGGAACAGTCACTTCCGGGTTTGCGGCGTTTGGGAGCCAAAAACGTTTGAGTCGCAAGGCGTTCCGACTTCCAAGGTACAGATGGCTGTATACCTAACTCATCCAAAGGACTAAGATGGAAACCTCTGCAGCCGGAAACTTTCTGGGCTGCACTGTGTGGATGTGACAGATCGATGTCTTGCCTCGGAAACCAGAGAAACTGAAACCGAATCTAGACTAGACGGAAGGGCTGTTGGTGGGTGGCCCTCAGACCGGATGAATGCAATGTGTCGCCTGCTCTGGATGGGGTTACACTCCCTCAGAAGGAGCAAGTATGTCGCTTGGGGATATTTGTGGATCTATTTGTGTCACTCGAGACTCAAGTGGACTCAAGAGTTTGATACGGAAGGGGAGGGCATGTCTTCTTCACCTTCTTCTTCGCTACAATATATGCATTTATTTCCAATTGCCAATGTCAAAAGGGACTAAAATCTATAAAATTCATAGAAAATTAACGTGCCAATTTGCTCAATTTCTCTAGGACTCCATGACCCCTGTCCTCCATAATCCCTCAAGTAAGGTGTCAAGACCCTAATCCTGTCAAATCACTCTGCCAAGCCTTTCCTCCGGGCAATGCCAGGTGACAGAATATGCATACATGGACCATTGACTTCTCATCACCGGTACTCAGGAAGTGCTTATCTGCGCATATCTCCAGCTCTGCATATTCCCCCCTCCCTCCTCCATATGTTAATCCGGTGTAACCCAACCTCTCCTTAATGTATTCATGATGTAATCTGTGTAACCCAACCTCTCCTTAATGTATTCATGATGTAACCTGTGTAACCCAACCTCTCCTTAACGTATTCATGATGTAACTGGGATGTATTTTGCACTGTATTCTGGGACATGGAGGGAAGTTTCAAAAGTTCATGTCACCCCTTTCTCGCTGTTCAATCTCGCCTTGAACCTGTTGCGCAATAAACTTGGATCTTCTGCAGTTTGCTCCTGTCTCCGGCTGAGCCCATTTTCCTCCGCAGGGACCCGCGGACTTAGTCCGACGAGCTGGGTGGCAGAGCAGCCTCGCACCCAGATTTTACCGTAACAATTTTTAAAAAAGAAAACTGGAAATTATTTATGTATGCAACAACAGCAGCAAGTATTACATTAGCACAAGCTTGGAAGACAGAGGCAATACCAACGAAAGAACTATGGGAAGGGAAACTTATGGAATATGCAGAACTGGCAAAATTAACAGATAAACTACATGAAGAGGATGACAAAGACTTGAAAAGAGAATGGGAACCATATGAAGAAGCAACATCAAGAACTGGACTCACTGGCACGGTTTGAATAAACAAACACAATTGTATATAACAAAAATTAAGATTATATGTATGGGAAAAATTTCGGGAAACAACACGCAGAGTGAGTAATACGGAAATAAAACAAAATGGGAATATGAGGGAAGTCCAGGGGAGGAGGGGGAATGTGGAAAATTGTTAGAGAAATATTGTTAGCTGATGTATACATGGAAAAACCAATAAAATATAGAATTTTTATTAAATTTTCTAAATTACATTTCAAAATATTCATTGAAACAACCCTAAATCAATGACGTCCTTTCTTCTCTTTTGGTGGTTCATCATCATCAACCTTTTATTCGACCGTCAGTCAGAAAAAAGTACATTTGTCAATACACAGTTAAATCATCCAGGAAGATTTTAGAACTTAGCCAACACTAAAATAGGCTAAACAGATAGCCCCATATCAATACAGTCAATTATAGTCTTGCGACGCTTAAAAGCTAAAAAAGAAATTTGGCCACCAAGGAAGGTATAGCTCTAGTGACATTATTCAGCAGGTATAAAACCTGGTTTTCTCCGGGTAGGAAGCTAAATTGACATAGGAGTGGGTCTATAAAATTTTGTCTAAGCTCTGCATAAGAAGGGCAAGTCAAGAGAATGTGTTTGGTGGACTCAACCGCACCCATGGCACAATGACAGGTTCTCTGGGCGTATGGTACTCCCCTGTACCTTCCCCACAATATCGCAGAATCAAGGACATTTAATCTAGCCGCTGTAAGAAGTCTGTGGTATTCCACATAGTGGATTTCTGCAAGGTAGGGGGCTGGTATGGTCCGATAAATCTGGTCCCCTAGGAACATCTCTGGTTTTACTTTGGTGGTTCATTTTGCATATCCCTGCATATTTTACATGAACTAAACCATTCTATAACCCATTGTTGC